GCAGCAACGCGAGCGACAGCCCCGCGCAGCGCGCACCACATCGCCTCGTGCGCCGCGCCCGCCAATGGCAGCGCGTGCCGCGCCCGCGTCACCGCATCGCCCCATCGCGCCACCCGGCCCCGCGGGACGCGCTCGCGTCAGAGGGGGGAAGGAACGCTTCCAGGCATAGCCAATCAGCGGGGCTGGCCTGTGAATGCTGGCCAATAGGGGTAGACTGGGGAGGGGAGGGGAGGAGAGGCGACCAATGAGGAGAGCGGGTGGAGCGGAGGGGGCGGGAATGAGAGCGAATGGAGCAGAGCCCGTGGGCCCCGGGACCTGGCTAGTGCGTGGGCGGATCAGGGCGGGGCTGGCGCAGTGTTGTCAGGGCTGAGTTGTTGTCTAGTTTTGCTGACTGGCGATGGGGTTGGGTGTTGTTGTTGACGCCTGCGCTGTGGGGGTGTGAAAACTGCCGCTGTTTCTTGTATAGATATTTATGTATATGAATATACATGTGTATAAATGTGTATACTTTACACATTACACACACATATATATACATATACACACGTACATATATACACACGCATACACACACACATGTACATACACACACACACTCTTACGTATATAAATATATATAAAAGAAAGAGCTAATATTTTCACGTTTCCGAACCATAGTCTTTAAGAACAACGCCCCAAATCATGAGAATTGCCAACGCTGCAGTTACCATCTCTCTAGGATCGTTTCGACCCTTGCATGATGGATGCTCAGTAATAGTAAAAGTGTTCGAAATGTGGGATCATTTCTGAGGCAGCGAATGGACGCGGCAGATGCAAAACCCACGTCGCTCTCAGGGAGTCTTAACCGACTCCTGCATTTGCTGCCCCCGCCGTCTCATGGCTGCTTGCCTGGAAATAAAGAAATGCTTCAACTTTGAGGCCCGGTTCTCGCTCACTCATGAGCGAGTTTACAGTGAGCAATATAAAGTAAATAAGAGGCTTATTCGTATACTTATTTGTAAGCATACTTATTTGTTTCATGTGCAATCGTTGTTCAGCAAATACAATCATTTTGAGCTTCCAATATGATAATTTCATATTTAAGACCTGGCAACGCTGCCCCCACAGGCTGCCCACCCCCCAATTGCTGCAGCCAGGCCCTGGCATCCCTGGTCTTTTCTAGGTATTTATTTGGTGTCAAGGGCAAATCTGCTCCAGATTGTGTTGGGCAAAGCCCAGTAGTCAGGTGCCAGACCTGGACTGAGCACAGCTCCATCCTTCAAGCCCATGCAGCTCTACTGCAGGCAAGGGTCTGCCCTGCCAGACCCCTCAGTCTGGGGCTCTGCATACTCCCCAGACCTGCAGCAGGCATCCTATGCCTGCAGGACCCAGGCCCAGAGGCCTTGGGGTTCAGATGCCCCCTGGTCTCACCCCTCGGCCTAGCCAGCAAGCTGAGGAGCAAGCCGCAGGGTAAGCAAGAACATGGCCCCCCATTGCCACAAGATTGTGCAGTCAAGTTTCCCACATTTGGGTAACCTCACATGGGTCAGCACTGGCAAGGTGCCACTTACTCAAGGAGGTAAATGGGCATGGTAGAGCATGTATCCCACCAGATTTCTGTGCCAACAGCAGGGTTTGGGGCTGCAGCTCGGCTGGACCCAACGCCTGGCAGTAGTGGGGCAGTGGTGTGGAGTTGTGGCCCCCGCTGCAGCAGCAGCACAGAGTTGTGCCTGCACTTACGCATTGCCTATGGCAGTCAGCCTGCCTGCAGACCTCACCCTATGACTGCACTTAATCTTAGCCCACAAGAGGCTGAGTGATAATGGGATCTCCCTCCTCTATTCATCCCTCCCTCACTGGCACAGACACCTGAGCCCCATTTGGGCAGCAGCAGTGCAGGTCCAAGAGGGGCTGAAGTCACCTGTGCCCCAGCAACAGGCTACAGAATCTCAGCTCTGAAATGACTTGGAAAATTGTGCAAGTAAGGGCAAGCAGCCAAGCTGGAGCACAGGTCTTAGCAAGCAGGAACTGGCTCGTTGCTTGCTGGGGATAGCATTTTCAGTGTCATCAGAGCTTCCTTTAGTGATGATTTGAACAGGAATAGCCAGCTCCTGCGTTGCTTCCGCATAAACCCCGTTTTGTACTGCCTGGTTCCAAAGCTTCCCAGTGCTGCACAAACAAAGGTGCTTTTATAACTGTCGTGAATCAGAGCAGCCGCCGGCAGCCGCCTGACTCACACCGGGGTGTTTAGATTTAGAGCTCGGCAGGCGGGTAGTGATGGATGGAGTGGAATTAACCAGGCACAGACGCGTGTAGGTTACAGGAGTTTGTTTACTTACGTCGCCTAGATAGTGATGGACGACGCAGGCGAGCCTTTGTTCCGTTACAGCTTCGGTTACAGAGTTGAGTATACGCATATAACTTCGGTTACAGAGTCGAGTACACGCACGCAGTTAGGTTACGACGAGATGATGACGGACGTGGCGCCGGGAATGGACGGTCGCGCTTGCAAGACTTTCTACATCAATATTTTACGCTGACGGGGTGATTGATTGGGAATTGATCAATTTCCCAATTCTCTGGTGACAAGCACAGGTGTTTCCTGTGAGATCCCCAGAGCTCTCCGACTTGGGCTGAAACCGTTAAACTATTTATAGGCAGAGGTGTTTGACAGAGATGCCCAATCGTGAACCGTTATATGGAATCTTTAATTTTTGGCAGGTGGCAGCTCTTTGTCTCCTCAAGTTACAAGGTAGTGGATTAGGTTTCTCTACCTGTTACGTGTGTGCTACGTGTGAGGAACTTACGCTTATCTTTGACCAATTATATATAGTTTCCCCTAGCATTTTATTTCAGCTGACCAATTATCTGTAGTACACCACCAGCGTTTTGTTTCAAGGAATTTCTTGGCAGGGAAGTCTTTTAACCCTTAATCGTCAAAATGAGATGATTTGAATGTTATCTCTTGCTCAGTGGCATGGGCACAAGCTAATTGGGTTGTGACAGAAAGTAGGCCTGGAAAGGCCTCATGAGGTCACCTAGTCCTAGTCCAGCCCCTTGCTCAAGGCAGGATTGACTAAACCAGTGATTCATATATTCTTGCAACCCACTTTTGGGTCATGACCCACAGGTTGAGAAATGCTGGACTAAACCATCCCAGCGAACTGACTGTCTGACTTGCTGTTGAAAATTTCCAGGGATAGAGATTCCACAACTTCTCTAAGTAGCCTCTTACAATGCTTAACCACCTTCAAAGTCAGAAAATTCTTTCTGATCTCCAACCTAAATTCGGCTGCAGCTTGGGACTATTACTTCTAATTGTCTCCCCTAACAGCCACAGAGAAAAGTCTATCTTTACCTTCCTTTATAATCTCCCTTCCGGTATTTAAAGACTGTTAC